TAGCATTCCACAGAAATCATCCCAGTGATTACCCGCCCAAGTCTTTCAGGTACCATGAGAAAATCCCAGGGAATAGTACGCTTTTACACACACACACATACACACACACACACACGTCCAAAGTGAAAGAACTTTGGTGCTAAAGCCAGGTACAAGCGAGATCACCTCTGCTTTCCTCCCACACCCCACCCCACCCTGCCAAACCTAACTCCTCTGAATGGGTGTGTAACTAGCACAACAAGTAAAAGGGCTCAACTTGTTGATGGCAAACAGAAGGGAGTTGAAGACACATTTTTCAGGATTTATTCCAGGGAAGAAATTGATAATAAGAAACCTCAGATAATCTTGCTCGTTTTGAAGCTCGAATCTGGACAAACTTGGACATGGGAGAGGGTTTCTGAACCAGTACAAACAATAATAAATGAGTTGTACTCATAAAGCATTCTTTTCTTCCTTTTTTCTTTCAGGGCAGAACGTCTTATGAATTTCTTCAATTAACTAAGATTTCAAGGAAACGGAGGAAAAACAGCAGAGCGCTGGATGACATGTCCAAGACGATCACTAGACAGTTCCCAGACTGTACATGACCAGAAGTCCAATTAAACATGTGGAAATGTTACTTCTATGTAATAATTCGCTCCCCATTGTACCACTGGAGATGTACAAACTGTTAAGAAATATTAGGCTTACTAATGAAATTTTGCTAATATTTAGTGCTAATAAATTCAATCACAGTGCTGAGTCTGAGTACGCTGGAAGCTACAGTTTGAAATTATACATTACACTGTTAGCCCTAAATCAACCAAAAACAAATGCTTTTTTTCTAATTTACGGATTTATTTGTTTCTCTGAATACTCGTGACTGAGTATGTCACAAAAGGAGGAACTACTCTAACAAACATGACAAATTTCTTAGTTTGGGCAGCACAAAACTCCACCGTTATAGAGAAAGACCCGGACAGACAGACACAGAGTACGGCACAGTGTCCCTAAAGACAGTTCAGGAAGAATGATAAAGGGCTTTTTATCCCGGGACTTGCCTCTGAAAAGGTCGTACATGTGTGCAGAAACCCGGGTTCCATCTGTTGCTTCAGAGCCAACAGGCTTTACTGCATTGACTTGGTGCTCTTATCTGGGGGCCATAAATTCCCACCAGAGTGAGACACCAGCTTAGCCAGTGACCCCTGCTGTTCAGATCAGACAATGGAGCTGGCCTTTCTTCCCAGAGACACTCTGTGGCTTCTGGACCGCCCTCTATGAATGCCCTTGGGATTTTGCCGTTTCCATTCAGGCTTTCCTAATGTGAGCAATTAGGAGATGCTTCATTTCAAGAGTCTCATCAGCAGTTGCAACACATCAGTGAACAGTAAACTACTGGAACCAAGAGACAGGAAACTGGGAAGAAAAGGGCAGCGAGACAGAAAAAGGTCTCCTGCAGAGCTCCTTGCCTGTAAGAGGCGCTCCATAAACATTACTTTAATAGAGTGCAAAATAGACGAGGTGTACACAGGTGACATGAATTTCAAAATTTGAACCCCGAAGACCAAGGAACAACTACTGGTCCAGCAAATTCGAAGCCCTACGCCATAACCCAAAGTTGGCTGGGGAGGGTTTGTGCACTCAGCAGACCCGGAGTTTCCTGCCCTGAGGTCCACACCACTGAACACCCCCCCCCCACCCCGGCAGCCCCCCAGGTGTTGTTTGTTTGGTTAGGTTTTTTTGTTTGTTTGTTTTTGTTTTTCTTTTGGAAGCAGAAGGAGCCAGGGATGCAAGTCATGCCCTAACCCCATTCTTTCTCCCAAAATGTCTAGGGACAATAGATATCTTTGAGGGAACAATAAAAGAAACAGAACTGGGTCTCCCCCAAGGCACCAACCACAAACAGCCTCATGATGAGCCCCTCTGTGTTCCCGAAAAGAGCGCAGTATAGAAAACGGCTTTCTCAGTCCATCCCAAATCAGCTGTTGACTAAACCACTCGTGCAGATGGGGAAGAATAAAAGTAACGATGATGATATGTTGCAGTGCGTTATCATTGTAGGTGAAATTTTTTAAGTCATTCTCCTGAGCTCCAAAAGTACCCATCCATTCATTGCCTTCAGGCCTTTCTCACTGAGCAAGATCTGTACTTGGTACAAAACGCTCTGGGGCTTCAGATGGGCTTAGGACCCACCGACTAGGGAGCTCTCACAGCCCCTCGCAGTTTCTTCTCTGCCCGCCAGGTGCCCAGGGATGATGGCTCCTGCTTCGCCCCCAGGGAGCCATTGTCCCGGGCCCTGCGCCCAGCGTCCGGCAGAATGCCGACCGCAGTCTCGCTCTCCGCCGCCCCTCCCGCGAATTTCCTCCGCCAGCTCTTCATCCTGATGAAAACGCGGCGCTGAGCCCCGCGTCGGCCTCAGCGGGGACTGGGACAGGGGGCACAGGGCCAGGCCTCCATCGAGGTTCCTGCCCCCGCCAGGGCCAGAGCTCCCCGGACCTTTCGTTTGCTTTTCCAACTTCGATCGGGGACCCAATGTCCCGGAAATCTTCAAGAAGGTCCGCGGTACAGCTCAGGTTAGCAGTTGGTAAACTGCTCACCATTAGACAAAACTCTTTTTAAAATGCGACGCCAAGGCTCTGCAGTTGCAGGCTGGGACTTGGGTATCGGACATCAGCGTCGGACCCCCTCGGGTCCGAGGGCCGAAGGGACCCAAGAGCACACGGCTGGGGAGTTGCAGGTCCCCACCCCGCGTGCGTTTGCCGGGGAAGCTTCCCATCCAGAGTGATTGGCTCCTCGCCGCGGGGCGCGGGTGCAGGGAGGGCCACAGCCGAAAGAATGAGGTCACCCACCCAGGAAAGGCGGCCTGCGTCACGCCCAACACATAAAATGTGGCATCACAGAGCCTCAACCGGTATTAAAAAAAAACAAAAAAAACAAAAAACCACCGACTTGCAACCCTAGCGGGACCATCACTTTGGAAAATGGCGCCACCAGATGGCTGCAGCGAGTCCCACAGAAATATGCTCAGGCTGGCGGGCTCTACAGCCCCAGAGGAGCAGGAAGGGCCCCAGACCACCCTCCCACGAGGTGAAGGTGACATTACCCACCCGGCTAGCCTGCCTGTGGATGAAAGCCAAGCAAAACACCCAGTAGGTCAAGATGCGTGCCTAAAGCCCTATCGTGTAACACCAGCAGCTGGACCGCTCATGGTGACTGGGATCCAGTTACTTAACCCCTCCATGCCTCAGTTTCCTCGCTACTACTTAGGGATTTGCAAAATAATAGTCACACCCATCTGCTGGGTGGCAGTGAGGATTTCAGGAGACAGGGACTCACAGTCATTTGATGTGGGCTGAGGGACGTTGCTGATCACCAGGCTCCCCAGGCGGCTTGGGCCTGCCCTAGCTAACTGCATCCTTTCCCACTCAGGAGTTGCTTAAAACCTCCGAGGGGGCACTGCCTTTTAATAAGGAGCAGGTGTTAGCCCACTCAAGGGGTTTGCTGCTTGGGGTGTTCTATTCCAGGAGAAGTGGTTGTCCATAAGTAGTTTTATTTACTTGCAGCAATTAAAGGACACAAGGGATTCCAATCTAAAGCTGTCTCCCCGAAGGGACACTTAGCCGTTGCTTATATACACTATTTACTTAATTACATGTTGATTTCTTCCCTGCAGCTGGCTAAACGTATTCACTTAAGTGCCGGTCGAGCTCATCCACAAAATACTGCGCTACATTTTTACATATAGCAAGAATAGCATTTAGTAACGGAAGCGCCAGACCTTGAGACCTTTGTACTGTCTAACACAGGGAAACACAAGCTCTCCAATCAAAAGGGAGGGCAGCTCACAGGTGCAGTTATTTGGGGGCTAAGAAACTTGTTTCCAATTCGAGGCTGCCCCTCGGAAGCCAGAGCTGGATTTTGAGATAAGAAACCGGCATTTTACACTTGTTCCCCCCCTTCTTGCTTTCACTCCCTCTCAGAAAGAGTCCATATGCCTTAACTTTACTATTCGCGAGTGGGAGCGGGAGGCTGCATTTCCCCAGCTCTCCGCGGATGCAGAACAGACGCAGGGGTAGGAGACCCCTCTCGCGGAGCAGAATCTCTGACAATGGGACCCACGATCCTGCCATCCCAGAAACTCTTGGCACCTACCACAGCCGAATTGTTCCGTCGAGATGAGCGGGAACTTTGTGCCTCGAGACTCTACTGTGCCTGAACATCCGGAAACACTAAAGCACAGCAGCGGGGCCAAATCCGCTCTTGTCAAGGCTCCTCTGCAGGTCTGCAGCGTTAGGGTGGGATGTTGGTGTGTGGTGAGGCTGGGGTGGGAGGATGAATTCCAATCCCATCACCAGGGACCCAAGGGCAAACCGCCCCCTTTAAGTAGGCTGCCCGGAGGAGTGGGCACGAACCACCACCTACCCTGGGTTTGGGTGAATAATTTCCGTTCCTAAAACGGTCAAGTACTAAGTGGACGGGAGTAGAAGTGGTGAGCATTGACTCTCTTTTTAACAGCGAAAGCTTTCGGCAGTGTTCTTTAAGTGGCAAGGATCTTCGAAGACCGGTAGGCCTGAGGGCTAACCCGGAGCGCAGCAGAGTCAGCGGGAAGGAAGGCGCCCCGGCGCGGCTACACCACGTGCGCGAGTCTCTGTGCGGTTGCACAGCGACCCCGGCTGGGGAGGCGCGCGGCAACAGTCACCAAGCATCCGCTTTCCTGAGCTTTTCACAAGGTCCGAGCTCGCGTCGCAGCTTCCGTAGATTATTCTCCCGTCCCGCTCAATCAATTTGTCCCTTAGGCGCGCCTGTCACGTGGGCATGCGCTGGCCGCGGCACTAACGAGCAGGGAAGGAAAGGAAGTGGGACGCGACGCAGATTGGGGAAGATGACACTGCCTACGCAAGGTGAAGTCGACGCTGGGTGGCGCGGGTGCGAGGAGGGTAAAGGACCCCCCCCCCCCGGAACAAGGCAGGTCAGAGTCGGACAGTAAGCGCGGGGGCGATGGGGACTCCAATGCGTCTCCCCGCTTCCCCTGGCGGCCAGCGGGGGTGCGCGCGCTCCCCAAACAATGCCTCCGGCCGCGCGGGCCCGCGCCGCTACGCGGTGTGCGGTGGTGCCCCGCCTCCAGCAAGGTCAACCAGCTCTGTGCTTCTAGAGCCCCGCCCTAGGATGTGTGAGGGACCGAGGCGACCCCAGGAGAAGGCGCTGGGGCTGGGGCGGTGGAGGCGGGAGGGCCCTCATCCCACCCCGGGCCCACGTCCCAGCATCTCTCCCACTTCAGGCTCTGATTAACTGTTTGATTCGGAATGTTTTCGTTTTATTTAGGGTTTATTTTCAAAACAGTGTGTCTTGGGGAGCGGGGCTTTTCCGTCTCTTGGGGTTTTAGTTAGAAACGAAAAGGTCCAGGACCAGTTCTGCGGAAGAGCGGCCATTTGCTGCCCGCGCCCCCACTCCCAGCCCCGGCTTTTCCCGGGCAGAGTACCCGTGTCAAAGGAGAAAAACATGGAAGCTCAACTTTTCGGGAACTCAAGATTCTTGTTGTCCAGACGATGCTCTCTCCCTCCAGATGACGACTTTCTCCAGTAGATAACAGAATGGGCTTTCGCCACCCCTGCATTAACCCCCTCTTCTAAGCAGTGAAACCACAAAGAGAGCCGGACGGGGGTCGTGGAGCGGGGTGTTGCCAAAGTCAAAACATCTTTCCTGAAGGAGGGAAAAGGGGAAGCTGCGGACACAGCCTGTTAAAGGCTCTGAGTGGCTGGGGAGTAACAATACACCCACCTTACCTAAGAAAGAATTTTGGCGGCTCGCTCGCTCTTCGGGATTATCTCTTTGGATCTGCACTGCCACCATGCTTGGGAGGTTTTGAGACGACCTACCCATGGGGAAGAGTTGGGGTGACTAGAGTAAAGGAGCCCCCCACCACACACCTTCCCTCTGCTGACACCCCAGTCCCAGTTTACAGCGTGAACTTACCGTTTGCACTAGAGCCCCAGCTCCACGAAGGGAGAGGCCAGCGGACTTAACTCTCCTCTGCACACGAGGCTCCAGCACGGTGCCCGTTGACACAGGCAGCACCCCAAACCAACTTTGTAAAGGCCACCACCAGCACTTGTGGCTCCCTAGGCAGAGCTCCTTCCTCTGCTCTTCTTTCCTTCCCGGCCTGCCCACCTGGCTCCTTTTCTGCCAGTCCCTTCGGCCGAGCACTAGCCCTCCCGTGCCATGGGGCCCAACCTCCGGCTCTCCGGAGCGCCCCGCTGCGAGGCCTGTGTGTGCTAGGGCCCGTGAGGCCTCTGAGCTGTGATTCAGAGGAAACTGCAGAGGCGGTTCCACAACAGCAAAACCTAGACTCACCCCAACAAAATAGCAACCCCAACGTTTTCTTTTCCATGTCAAAGTTTTGCTCCTACGATTTTATTGATAATTCTGATTTTTAAAAGAGCAAGGGGAGGGAAGTACACCGTCCAGGATAGGCCAGGTTGGTGACTGTGTCTGGGAATTCGACATTAAACCAAATTCGAGGCGGCCTGGGGCAGGCAGGCCCCAGGTGCAAGCCGAAAGCACAAAGCACGGGCTGGCTGCCGGCTGGTGCCCAGAGATGCAGTTCCACAGCGCAGCCCGGGTCCAGGCAGCAACTGCAGGATAGTGTCAAACCAGCCCTGGCCCGGGCCTCTCTGGGGTTAGAGTGCGTTCCCGCCGGGACGTGTCGGCGAGGCAGCCCATCACGTCCCTGACTCCCCCGATCTCTCGCAGCCCCCACCCCACAGGATCACTGTCAGTGCGCAGCTGCTGGGTGGGCTGGTCTATTTGTTTGTTGTTTAGAGCAATTCTAGAGCGCGCGCTCAGCAGCCTCTGAAAGGGGTTGTGGGGGGGGCAGCCAGAATTTCCTTCCAGGGAGCGCATGAGGGGCATTCTCAAAGGAAAACCAGACCAAGTGAGTAGTGACCAGCCCTCCTCAGATTACTCTTCACAGGCTCCTCCCTTGCTCCCCCCACCCACCTCCAGATTTGCATTAAAAAGGCCAAGAAAACGCTGGCTGGGCCCCAGCAGCCGCTCACACTGCTCCCCCCGGGTCGGAGCCCCCCAGAGCTGCGCGAGGGCTTGCTGCAAAAAGCCGAGCACAGAGCTCCTTGCCCGCGCAGTCCTGCCCGCGCCCGGCCTCTTGGCGCTCTTGCTGCCCCGCCGCCGCCCACTTTTCAGGCCCCCCAGCCGCACCGAGCGAGCGAGCCGGCCCGGGACGAGCTCCGGCCTCGGCCGCCTGGCGCTTCCCCAGCTCCGTTCCGTCTGCCCCCCGGGGGTCGCGCGCCCACCATGCCGAAGGGCCCCGGCTCGCTGCTGCTGCTGGTCCTGGCCTCGCACTGCTGCTTGGGCTCCGCGCGCGGGCTGTTCTTCGGCCAGCCCGACTTCTCCTACAAGCGCAGCAATTGCAAGCCCATCCCCGCCAACCTGCAGCTGTGCCACGGCATTGAGTACCAGAACATGCGGCTGCCCAACCTGCTGGGCCACGAGACCATGAAGGAGGTGCTGGAGCAGGCGGGCGCCTGGATCCCGCTGGTCATGAAGCAGTGCCACCCGGACACCAAGAAGTTTCTGTGCTCGCTCTTCGCTCCGGTATGCCTCGATGATCTGGACGAAATCATCCAGCCGTGCCACTCGCTCTGTGTACAGGTGAAGGACCGCTGCGCTCCGGTCATGTCCGCCTTCGGCTTCCCCTGGCCCGACATGCTCGAGTGCGACCGTTTCCCCCAGGACAACGACCTCTGCATACCCCTCGCTACCAGCGACCACCTCCTGCCCACCACCGAAGAAGGTAAGCCTTCCCCTTTATTTCCCCCCTCCGAGCTCCGCTAAGACTTTCCAGGCGGGATCCCTAGGCCCCCGCCCCACATCCCGATGCGTCCCCACCTGAGGTGCCATTCCTGGCGGGGCCAGCGCTCTCCTTGCCCTGATGTGTCATCGTGACAAATTTGAGAGGTATCTCAAATACCTCCCACATACACACACACCCCGAGCCTCTCATTCCCTTTCCGAGCCATACCAGTTATACCTTTCTTAGGGGCAGTTAAAAAGAAAGAAAACGAATAACCGAAAGGTAACTTTTCCAAATAGAGACACAATTATTTTTGCTACCACGGGGGACTAAGTTGTGAGAGCGTTGGAAGTGGCCCTGTGTGGAGGAGTTGGTGAGCATGTATCTGGTCAGAGGCGTCTTGCTCTGCCTCACACAGCACCTTCTCACCGCTGGGCAGGCACTTAGGCACAGGGACACTGGATACAGACAGCATAGCCGAAACCCACACAACAGATCAACAGGTTGTCTTTTAAGGTGCTTGCTGTTCTTTGCCAATTCGGGTTTGGGAAATAAAGGCAGGGCTGGCTCAGAGGTGTTGAAAATTGAGTGTGGGTTGTAACTGCTCAGGTGTCTACGGAAGAGGCAAAGGGAATCTCCAGCAATCATTTTCTATCACCAGTCAGCTTTTATCTTAGGAGTGGTTTTAATTAACTAGAGAAAACCATGCAAAAAAAAGTTTCCCAAGTTTTTAGAAAACAGAGGGGGAGTTCCTGTGCAAAAACCATCAAAGCAATGAAAACCTCATGGGCTCTCGATATTCTTCCTGAAAACAAAACATACAATGTGCCTGAGCTGATTCAGGTCCCCCCTGGGACGGAAAGGAGGCTTCCTAATCCCTTTCAGGGCTCCAGCAGCATCTCCCTTTCAATCTCCTAATTGTTTTCCTACAGCCATCATTAGTTAAAGAAAACGCAGAGTTGCTTAGCAATCTTTCCTGGCAGGCACCATGAGTATGCAATCATCTTATTGGTTAGATTTCTAATTTATTGCAAATGTTTGGCATATTTTAAACATTTGTCCAACATACACCACAGACCAACCAATACAGGTTAGTAACATTTTATATACATTCCTAGAGCTCCTAATTGGAAATGTTTCATTTTGTTTGAGTGAGGGGAGTTAAAGGCAGTTTTATATGTGTTGCTTTTGTTTTTATTTCTCTCCACTATCAGCACCAACATTATACACTACCTTTCTCCCAAATGCCACTTTCTCCCTTCAAAATAAAAGTTTATGGTCTTCAGAATATGCTCTGCCATTTTTCTAGTTTCACAAATAACTCTTCTATCGTGAGTCTCATAGCTTTTTTCTATGAAAATTAAATTTCACCTAAATTTTAAAGACAGGACATTTTTAAATGGGAGAAAGGGAATATGCTTTCTTTTTTTCCCTTTCCTAAGAAATTAGACTCATCAGAAGATTGGGTCAGACTCCAGAGACAGTTGGCTTCAACTTTGCTAAGCTTCAGGAAAAGCTTTGAGTTTTTTTGTTTGGTTGGTTGGCGCTCTTTTTTGTTTTGTTTTGTTTTTGTTTTGTGTGTTTGTTTTTGAGAATCTGAAGCAAACAAAGAGCATGAAGAACCTTTAGGAAGACCAAAGATAAAGATTAAATACATGCTGCTTCAGCACAAGCTTGACAGAAAGTACAAGGTGATGCAGGGCCAGTTAGGGAAGGCTGTTGTGCTTACAGGTGTTCCAAGGTGGGAAGGAGCCCCCTAGGTGGCCCTTAACACCACTCGCCACCTTTCCCTGTGCGGACTTCACAATATCTTGAAACGACCCTCCAGAGACACAGAGCTCTGCTCAGGAGCCCGGCGCAGACCCAGCGGCACTGGTGTCCTGCAGCAGAGAAGGACAGTCTTTTGGCCATTTTTTTTTGTGGTTACATTTTCCAAACTCTCTCAAGCGTCTTCTGGTGCTTTCTCCTCGGAGAAGCTTAGGGAACAACTTTGTCAGAGACTGAGTTTGTCCCAGGGGTGGGGGAGAAGGGCTAGACGGCTGAAACCTGTCCCGGTTAACTATAGCTACACCTGCACACAATGCCCCAAGTGCCCCTTGTCTTTGGAATTCGTCATTTATTAAACACTCCATATGGGCATTTTTGTCCATCGAAACATGGGAGGCATGGAAGACCTGGGGACGACCCAGCCTCCTCTTATAAAGGAGGCAGAGGCTGAGCTCTTCCAGGACAATTGCTGCTCTTGCCTGGGTGCGCCCCTCCGAGTTGTTTACAAAAACGCCACCTGCTGTTCTCTTTCAGGCAAACTGACCAATTTTTCACCTTTCTAGCCCCTAAGGTCTGTGAAGCCTGCAAAAATAAAAACGAGGATGACAACGACATAATGGAGACTCTTTGTAAAAATGATTTTGGTAAGTAATACACCACAACCAACAAAAGATTTCACACTCAAAAAGTTTTACTAGCCAGCAACACTGAAGGGTACAGATCATGGAGATGTTACTAGATAAACCTGGGTGAGATGCCACCCCCGTTCACTCACCTTTCCTACAGTCATCTAACCTGCTCTCTCCTGGTCTCCTCCCTGGGTAACTGTCTTCTGTCGACTTGTGTCTCTTTTAGGTGAGACTCATTTAAGCGGTAATCAAATACTGAGAATTACTTAACTTACTAATTTTCAATGACATGTTTTCATTTTACTTTGGCTTTTTCTCGCCAACAAGCCTGATCCTGGGCCGTGTTCCCTTTCGGACACTGGACATGCGCACCGGGGACGGAAACATGTGAATCTTAGCCCCAGCGAACACACGGAAGGCATTAAGTTGTCCACAAATAGAAACGGAGTCCAGTGCCAAACTGAAATATTCTTCCTTTATTCATAACCATTAGTGACTATATCCAAGATACTGCTTAATAACTGGAGGAGGGATTCCTTAAATTTCAAAAGAAGAAATAAAGCTTAGGAATTTACTTTGGCAAGCCGCACGAAAGATCCATGATGACGTGGTGCTTGGGGACAATAAATAATGTGTGATACGTTACCCAAGTTCCATAGAGTGTAAGTCACTGCCCTTAAGAGGATATTATTAGGGGAAACGGGTTGGAGACTGTCCATACAGGACTCTATCAGCACCTTATCTGCTGTCCTCAGGCCCAGCTAGACACAGGGTCAATGCCAAATTCAAAGTTGGGACTGGCCAAGAACTTCGTCCAGACTCCCGAGCTTTCTGGCCTTCATCCCATTCCAAAAGCAGAGACCTTCTGATGTGTTTAAGTGGTTGGTACCTCTTAGAAACTTCCATTCGGGCAGAAGGCTGACCTTAGCAGTACACAGCTGTGACCCCGACTCCATCCAACAACAGGGCTCTAACAGATCTGTATCCTGTTGCTGTGTCCTCGACAACGTCCTTGAGACTGAGAGGAATCACTGCAGCCCCCGCTGCTGAGGAAGACCTCCCGGAAGTCTCAGGTCCGGTCAGGTCCCTGAACTCGGAGAATAATCCTAACAGTGCTCCTTACACCCACGGGTCTCTTCCAGGGAGGGCCCCGAGTCTGCCCTTAGCTCGTGCCAGAACAACCAGAGCCACAGCTTTAGGAAAAGCTTCACAATGCCAAGGAAGGGAGGGGGAAAGGCAACTCGGTCCCAACCCATCCTGCCCCTCAGCAAGAGCCACCAATGGGATGATAGCATTTCGTATGTCTGCATAAAATATACACGACTCTGGGGGCCAGGCGTGTTGGCAACAGCAATCCCAGGGCCTTCCCGAAACTCAGTGCCTAGCTTCTGTGCTACCAGACAGGATGAAGGGCAAGAGAGGAAAATACCATTTTAATAAGATGTACACTGAAGTGTACGTCAAATATCATCTTCCGACAGCTTGCATCCATTGCACTAGATTTCATCCAGATCTCTCTCCTGGCTTCCATGAAAAAGTTGGTTGTATTATGGGGCTCCAAACAGTTGATATGAGAGACATGCGCACACACACGCACTCACATGTATGAACTGCTTGCTTTGCCACTTCCCCTATAGAAGACCTCCCTAAGGATGCTCTGTCAAGCCTGGGCCCAAAAATGGGGGGGCGGGGTATGTGTGCGTGCTAGTGTTCTCTCCTTGGGGAAGAACGCCTTTCAAAACAACATGGGAGTCATTACATTTACAGTTTCACACACGTAGACCCTCACGAGCTTTGTTTTACATTTCCGCACATTCATTTTTGTCCCAAAAGAGCTAATGAACCTGGATCTCAGGTTTACAAGCGGTATTCCATACTGCCTCTGTACTTTGGGCGAGTAACGGAAGGATGGAAGGAACGAGGGTAGAAATCTGGTGTATTGAATGTCACACCCCTTGGCCATTGCACACCTGAAGCACAGGGCGAGTGTAGAACGCCTCCTCATTTCAGTGGGCAAAGTACTGAAGAAAGGAGGGCCCACGCCACCTGCTTGTGTCTTCAGCACAATCTGTCGTTGGATCGGATGGTGTCAGCACCTCTGACTACCGCGTCCTGCATCCCTGTTCGCATCTTCCAGGGCAGGAGAAGTTGTTCTGGGGCTTTCGTTCCCTGTATCTGGTCCCAGCTGAACACCCAGGCAGGAAGTGCCTGCTGTTTTCCCATGGTGATGTTTAGCAAAGCTGGTCATTTTAAAGCTAGAGAAGTATGAGTAATAAAGCTTCCCCCTGGTTAAAAGGGATGATTTTTTTTTAATGTTTGGAGCTCAAGAATGTTTAGTTTGACCTGCTGAAATCACGCATGCTCTCTCTGTACTATAGAAGAGGCTCCCAGGCAACACATAATCAATCACTTTGCTCACTATGTATGGCCCCCATCCCCACACCTTACACCTTCAAGTCCATGATTTAAGTCTCATAAACCCTGAGAAGCCAGAACCATGGTTCAGATGTGGTATCAGACAAAATAATGGCTGGCTAAGTCACAGCATCCTTGACGTACCCAGCTGAGCTTTGGTCATTTCCCAGTCGACTAGAAAAGCCGTCCTTCGTCAAATTGTCTTTCTGAGAGAGAAAGAAACCACCAAAGCAGTTATGCTCACATACGCTCAGAACTCTTCCTCTGTTATTAATTTAAGCAATGAACTAAACCCCATCAGAGTCAGGAAGCTAGACTGGTGCGTATCCGTACAGGACAGTCATCTACAGCACCAAGGGTCTAGGGACGCATGACAGCGGGGTGAGTTAACGCTCCAGCCAGGACACAAGATTGGAATTGTCCTATGAGACAACACTGGTGCTCTAGGAGGTTTAGGACCCGGTGTTCCGAGGGTCCCCCTCAGTGGGGACCCTATCTAACTGGGTGATCTTGTGTAAGTCACTCCAGTTCTCTGGGTTTCAGATTCTTCCTGTGCCAACGAGAGACGTTTAACTGGATGATTTCTTCCAACCTTCAAATCCTGTGCTTTCTTTGCCTTCATTGATTCTTGAAATGTAATTCCAGCATGTACGTTTGCAGGGTTTTCTTTCCCAAAGCATAATGTTTATGGCTCTAAAATGTGTCTTTTATGTAAACCACTTACTTTTGGTCTTAGCATTCTAATGAGTCTAATATCCATTTTGGAAACGGTACATATATGAACTGTAAACGCCCTGGCCTTGGACGGGCAAAGGATAGCATATGAGGATGAGGTCTTCAGAAAAACACTTTTACAGCGAAACATGTGCTCTTAAAAAGAGTCTTGGATATTTTTCTCCTAGTTACTTTACCAAATCAAATGCAGCTGTAAGATCAATTCTCCTTCCCTATAGTCTGTTCTTTAGAAAACAATGATTGTGTGATATAATTTCCTTGCAGGTTTGTCCAAAAACCTATCCAACGTAATTAATTGAGTTTAAAGTTTACAGCCACAGAAGGATCATGTTTCACCTAAGAATCAGGCATTTCTTTTCATGCTGACGTTTCCAATAGGGGAAGTCATTTGTTGAGGAGAGCAGAGCACAAACCACATGCGACCCGCACACAAACACCAGGGCTGGGACGAACGTTAATCGAGTCCCACAAAGGGAGTTTTGAAAGGATGGCTGATTTGAAACAAAGTGCCTAGCAAACCCTTTGAGGCTTTAGAAATGGAGCCACCTGCTGCCCCCAGTTCCCAACCCCCTCCACACAGCCCGGCCGACCAGCCCCTTAGCTCTAGGAAGCTCTCCTGCTCCCCTGCCAAGCCAGGTCACGCCCATAGCAGTAGCGTGGGGTGAGGAGAGCTCCCAATCTCGACTGCATTCCCTCATTATAACTGGAGTGATTCCATCCCTTCTCGGTAGCACTGAAAATAAAAGTGAAGGAGATAACCTACATCAACAGAGACACGAAAATCATCCTGGAGACCAAGAGCAAGACCATTTACAAGCTGAACGGGGTGTCCGAACGGGACCTGAAGAAGTCGGTGCTGTGGCTCAAAGACAGCTTGCAGTGCACCTGCGAGGAGATGAACGACATCAACGCGCCCTACCTGGTCATGGGACAGAAACTGGGCGGAGAGCTGGTGATCACCTCGGTGAAGCGGTGGCAGAAGGGGCAGAGAGAGTTCAAGCGCATCTCCCGCAGCATCCGCAAGCTGCAGTGCTAGTTGTGGTGCCCCGGGTGCTCCGACAGGCCGGCCCCAGGGCGCGGCTGGCCACTTCCACGCGAGGCCCAGGCCTCAGCTCTCTGTCCCAAGCACAGTCCCTGCAGCTCCGGCCCCAGCCTGGAGCAGCGCCCCCTGCCTTTTGCACATTTGCACCCCCAGCATTTCCTGAGTTATTAGGCCCTAGGAGGCCTCAGGAATGGGTACCTGTTTTCACATTAAGGAGAAACCCAGCCAAGTCTTGTAGAAATATTCAAACTAATAAAATCATGCATATTTTTATGAAGTTTTAAAATAGCTCACTTTAAAGTTAGTTTTGAATAGGTACAACTGTGACTTGGGTCTGATTTTTTTTCCCCTCTTTGGTCTGGTCACCTGACTTTTACTTTCTGCTGAGGATGCCGTAAACGTCCAAATAGCTTCATTTTTTTCTGTGGCCCAAACTGCTGTGGGTCACAACCCCAGTTGAGATAAAGCTGGCTGTTATCTCAACATCTCTCAGCTCCAGCCTGAGACGCCTCGCCTAAGCGTTCAAACAGTTACATGTCATTTTACACCCTCATTGGGACTTCACAACTGTAGCGTGTATTGCATTTCCAAGTAGAGGACTTCCATTTATAAAAAGCACATTAACCATCATAGCATGAATTCATTGAATAAAGGGCACAACAGACAAGTTTTGTAATTGACCTGAGTCCTTTAAGCTTTGTTTAAAACGTTTTTTCTTATTTTTGCAAATTAAACCATTGTAGCTTACCTGTAATATACATAGTAGTTGACCTTAAAAAGTTGTAAAAATATTGCTTTAACCAACATTGTAAATATTTCAGATAAACATTATATTCTTGTATATAAACTTCACATCCTGTTTTACCTGCGTGTCTTCTGTCTCTGTAGTAGAAGGGGTTGGGAAGGGAACTGTCACCTTCTTTTAAGAGCTGTCACCTCCGTTTTCCTGAGGTCCAGCCTCCCTACATTTCCAAGTGTCTGTTCCTTAAGTGACTCAGACAGTGTCTCCCCCCCGATGCCACCAGACTCCCACCTTGTGCCTCACATCTCAGATTCATACCCTGGGGACCCTGCAGGGGGGCAGACTCCAAAAAGGACCCTCCTTCCCTTGTCCCCCCTCAGCAATTCAGTTGCAGCCGTGTGGCAACCCTACTCTCACCCGAAGGTCCACGGCCTCCCCGTGGTCCCTTTCACTCCCAGAGACTTTCATAATGGAAAGGAATAACCACAGCAAAAATGTTAGTTCCCCGCCCCCCAGGACACTCTGACCCTCAGACGAAGAGCCATGATTAGAAGAATGTCCGTGAGAAGGTGGGGGCTGGGGGGGGGGGGAGCCAACATTAAGAGAAAGACAGATGATGCCTCAGTAAAGATGTTCAAGTTTCCTCGAATGGATCTATTGGTTTAATACAATTCCTACTGAAATCTCAGCAAGTTTTTCTGTCCGTGTGGATAACCCTATTCTAAAATTTATATTGAAAAAGAAAAGCCTTAGAACAACCAGAATAATTTGGGGGGAAAAAGGGGGGGAGAAATCATTCTTCTCAATGTTAAGGCTTACTATTTAATTACAGCAATCAAGACAGTGTGGAGGAACTGGTGAAGAAACAGACACACAGATCAATGTCCAATTTAAATGCCCTACTATTTTATGTGTTAACTATACCTCAGTAACCCTTGAAAACAAAGACCATGTTAGGAGAATGGAAGGACAAATTACAGATTAAAGAAAATATTTGCGAAGCACATATTGGACGGGGGACTTGTATCTAGAATATATAAAGAACTCTCAAAACTCAGCAGTCAGAAATGAAGCAATGCGCTTAGACGTGGATGGAAGGCGTGGACAGACGCCCAGGGGGACAGGATGTGGGTGCAGCCTTGACGCTGTCGCCCTGGGTGTGGGAGGACGGAGCGGGAGCCAGGCATCGGCTGCTTGGGCCTCGGGTCCTGTGAGACAAAGGAGACTTCCTCGCCGTGCTTAACTCTACAATGGGCCAAACACTGTGTTTAGGTTCTCAATAAAGCAGGAGTTCCAAAAACCTGGAAAAAAGAGGGGGAACCATCTGATGTATTTTTTAAGCATCAAAATAGTCATCTTAGGGGAAAACCAGGTCATTGTACACTGACCTAGACCTAACATAAATAGTTTAATGTTTTCTTGGTTTTCAGAATGAAAAAAATAGGAGGATGGTGTAGGGAGACCATAATAACCTCTTCAGTGTTTTGGACTTCTGACAATCTTGCTGAAATGGAAAGGGAGACGTTCTAAGCATAGCATGGTCTTTCTCACATCCTGGCCTGGCTCCTGGCCTGGGAAGTGAAGCTAGAAAAGAAAAAAACTAAAAGCCACCTGACCTAGTAAAATTACCCCCTGCCCAGCAGAGCCAGACCACCAGCATGAATGCTGAACTACTTCTTATGACAGGGAATTATCTAGGCAGGGGAAGGTGGGCGGGGGGGGGGGGGGGTGTGCAGAGAGGGGGGCGAAATGGAGAACGGGGCCGTTCAACTGCAGGCTTCAATACCCCACTTTCAGTAGTGGGTTGAACACATAGGCAGAAGACCAACAAGGGAACCGAAGACCTGAACAACTCTGAGCCAACCAAACCTACCAAACGTCTATTTACAGAACATCCCACCAAACAATGCACATTTTTCTCAAATTGTTGTATAAATGGTCCAAAACTGGCCCCGGTATATGGGCCCTTATGTCGTTTACTTCTTTACAACAGACTGGCAGTGTTAGCTCAAAGCCAAATTCAAATTCTTCCAGATCCGATTGCTTCCAATATATACAAAATAAGCATATGTTTAGCCATTTAGAGCCTGTCTGCTTTCGATGCCCTGCAAAACGGCACCCAATACCTGCTGGCCATAGATGAGATCAGCCCTGTGGTTATAAGAGGCCCCAAACAGCCGCTGCCCTTCAGCGGCCTCGGACTCACAGCCCCACACCTGGCCGCTGAGTGACATCAACTACACACATAAGCCCCTCCCCACCATTCCCCTCTTCTCTGGGAACTCCCTTACCCACTTCCCCTTTTGCTGGGTAGCCTCTGTCTCCGGAAGGTCCCCCACTGGGAGGGGCTTCCCCTCCCATGCAACCTTGTCCAGATACCACCCAGTACACTGGAAAAAGGCCATCTTGATCAGCCCCAAGATCTTTGCGCTCACCACACAAGTGCGCACGGAACATTCTCCAGGACAGACCACACGCTGGGCCATGTAACAAGCCTCAACACATTAAAAAGGACCAAACTCGTGCAAAGGGTGTTCTCCAACCACAATGGAATGAACTTAGAAATAAATAACAGGAGGAAATTTGGGAAATTCACAAATATGTGCAAATTAAACAACACAGTCCTAAATGTGTTTAAAATTTAAGTGAATGAAACCAAAAACTCAATATACCAAAAAGTATGGGATGCAGCTAAAGTAATTTCCAGGGGAAAGAGCTGTAAATGCCTACCTTAAAAAAAGAAAAATCTCAAAGCAGCAACCTGAACTTCCACCTTAAAGAACAAGTAAAGAAGAGCAAACTAGGCCCAAAGCAAGCAGAAGAAAGGCAACTATACAGATTACAGCAGCAAATAGATAACATTAAGAATAGAAAGACAGCAGAGAAAATGAATGAACTTAAAAGTCAATTGTTTAAAAAGAAAACTGACATGACTGCAGCTAGATCAACCAAAATAAAAAGAGAGCAGACCCAAATTACTAAAACTAGGAATAAAACAAGGATATTACGACCAACCTTGAAGCAGTAAAAATGGTTACAAGGCCACACTATGAACAATTTTATGCTAATAAATTCGATAACCTAGACAAAACAGACCAATTCTTAGAAAGACACAAAATAACAAAAGTGCAAATAGAAAATCTAGATAGACCTATAAAAGGTAAAGGGGTTGGATTATTAACAAAAAATTTTCCCGGAAAGAAAAGCTCAGGCCCACGTGGCTTCTCTGGTGAATTGTAACACACATTGAAAGAAAAACTAATATTAGTCCTTTACGAACTCACCCAATAAATAGAAGAGGGAGGTAACACTTCACCACTCATACTATGAGGCTAGTATCACCCTGTTAGCCCAACCAGATAAAGAAATCCTGAGAAAAGACTACAGGCCAAAATCTCTTGTGGATATGGATGCAAAAAGCCTCAATATACACTGTGACCAAGGGGGACTCATCCCAGAAATGCTAGCTTGGTTTAACATATGAAAATTAATCAATGTAATACACTATATTAATAGAATAAAGAACAAAAACCACATGATCATATCAATAAATGTAGAAAAGCACTTGACAAAGTCCAACACCCTTTCAGCATAACAACACTCAGTGAACTAGGAATAAAAGGGAAATTCCTCAACCTGATAAAGCCATCTGCAGAAACCCCACGGTTAACATCATACTTAATAGTGAAAAACTGAATGCCCTCCCTTTAAGATCAGAAACAAAATAAGTAATATTCACTCTCTCCCCTTATTTAACATATTACTGGAAGTTTTAGCCAGCATGTTAAGGCAAGGAAGAAAGGAAGGCAGGAGAGAGGGAAGAAAAGAAGGAAAGAGAAAGTATGTGAGGGGGAGGAGGTAAGGGAGGGGAAGGGGCAGAGAGAGAGAAGGAGGGAGAGGAAGGAAGGAAGGAAGGAGGAAAGGAAGGAAGGAAGGAAGGAGAGAGCACTTTTTCCTTCAGATCAGAAAGGAAGAAGTAAAATAACTACCTCTATTTGCAGATGACATGATCTTGTATATAGAAAATACTAAGGAATCCACTAAAAAACTATTAGAACTAATGAATAAGTTCAGCAAAGCTATAGGATACAAGACCAACATATAAAAATTGATTATACTCGAGCATTGAACAATCCAAAAATGAAGTTAGAAGAATTCCATGTACCATAGAATTAAAAGAATATGAAACGTAGGTATGGGATAAATTTAACAAAAGTACAAGATTTACACATTGAAAACTATGAAACATCATTGAAAAAAATTAAAGAACTAAATAAATGAAGAGACATCCCATGTTCATGAGTGAGAAGACTTCGTATTGTTAACACAGCAATACTTCCCCAAATTGGCCTACAGATTCAATACAATCCCTACCAATATTGCAGCTGCCTTTTTTGCAAAAATTAATGAGCTGATTCTAAAATTCTCATGAACATGCAAGGGACCAGGAATAGATAAGACAATCTTGAAAAAGGAGAACAAAATGGAAAGACTCACACTTCTCAGTATCAAAACTAAATACAAAAACTACAATAATCAAGACAATGTGGTACTGGCATAAGGACAGATGAAAGGAATACAGTGAGAGTCAAGAAAGAAACGATTATGTTTATGATCAATAGATTTTTGACAAGAGTACCAGGGCAGAGAGAGACAAAGAAAAAGAGTAAGAGGGACTAGTCAATAGGGGAAGAATAGTCTTTGCAACAGGTGCTGCTGGGACAACTGCATGCCAAAGACTGGAGTTGGATGTGTACCTCACACCAGACACAAAAAGTAACTCAAAGTGGGCCACAGATCTACATGTAAGACCTAAAACTATAAAACGCTTCTGGGAATATATCTAAAGGAACCCAAAACATTAATTCAAAAGAACATAAGCACCTCTATGTTCACTGGAGTGTTATTTACAATCACCAAGATATGGAAGCAGCCCAAGGGTCCAATAGGTGAGTGGATAAAACAACTATGGGACATTTACACGATGGAATTCTACTTGGCTGTAAAGAAGAAGAAAATTTTACCCTTTGCAACAGTGTGGATGGAGCTGGAGAACATTATGCTAAGTGAAATAAGTCAGACAGAGAAAGACAAATACTATGATTTCAC